TTTGTGAAAATAGCCTCTGTCTTTGTGTCTGTCCATGAGCATTTCAGTTAATATACCTAGAATGGTCAGTCTTGCCTTGGACTCAGATAAAATGTGAAGGTCCTGTTCAGTGAGAAATGCTACCACTTTGACATTTCTTTGTGTTTTGGAATGGGATTGAAATACGGAAATACTGACATTTTCTGTGCAACAGAAATCCCGAGAACTTTCAATTAGGAAATATTATAGTGCTTTTTTTTCTGACATTATTTATACAGTGATTATTTTTTTATATTCTCACAGTTTAAATATTTTGATTTATTAACAATGAACAAAATATGCTGATCTGTAATGTTCAGGTTTGAATGATGTCATTACTTCCTGATAGCAATTATCTCCTGATAATGAAGTACTGCTTGATGGGAGCTGCAGTTCAGAAGCTTGGCGCATTCCCTGACCCTCTCCCATTGCCTCATTTACATCCTCTGTAATGCATCATGCAATTTGGTCAGAATGAAATGTGAAAACTTACTGCCTGATGTAGTGATAAAGGAATCTAGTCTGTACGGTGTAAGAGAGGTCCAGGCATTGGTTCCCATGAGGCAGCACGTCACAGTGGGAAGTTTGTGTTCCCATGTTCAGATTCTCAATGCAATATTGCAGGTCAGCTAAAAAGATGTATTTATGTCAAGTATTTATATGTTGAATACTTCCTCTGAGTTTCCTGGACAGCAGATTTAAAATATAGGTGGCTAGAAAACTGAAAATATCAGCCACAGTTTGGAAATACACTTTCCCATGCACAAACTGAGGCCAGGATGCCTAAACGGTCTCTTTGTCGCAGACTCCATCCTAGCTCACATACTTACCAGGCTTGACTAACCCTGTAGGTGACTCTTCATTAAATATCTCCTGGTGAATCTCTGAAGTCTTTAGGTCCGTATCTTGATTCACCAGCACAGGGTTAGGAGAGACATTTCAGGGAGACAGGTATTTACCTCCTTCCTAAGCTCTGCTATGGGCTGGTTTTAGGCAGTCAGTGGATTTTGAGCCAAGTCCACTGGAGAAGCCTGGAAAATCAGATGTCATCAAGACTGCTTTAGGTGGTGACTTCTCCTGAAATAAAAAAGCAGTTGGAGCACTGCCCCCCAGAAGGGACAGGTCTTCCTGCGGGGCAACTCTGGGAGGAATGCAGCCCAGGCCTCTCATAGCATGAAAGAGGGACCAGACAGCCAGGTCGTGGCTAGATAACCCAGTAACCGTTCTGCTGGAGCCAGGTGTGCAAGAGTCCTGGGGCCAAAAGGCAAATGCAAGAGGGAGACTTCTCTAACCTAGGGTTATGCAGGTGGCACGGGAGGAAACTCTGCTCATTTCTTCTAGGGACATTTTGTCTCTTGTATGGTTTAATGTAAAATGCATACACACTCCAGGGAGAGGGAGTTGCAGCTCCAGTTCCCTGTACCTCCAGACACACCCAACTGCTTCCCAGCTGTTCAGGCTGCTCACCTGAAGTTACACCTGCTTGTGCCTGCTTTGGGCTAGGAGCCCTACCTCCGGCCACCTGCAGCAAGGGTGGTGTTACCAGGTACCCCAGTCTTTATGGCACCTCTCAGGGGTGGTGGCTGCCCTCACCCTCAACCCTCTGCTCCAAGGGAACTAAGGACTTAACCCATTACTTCCCACTTCACCCACGGGTGTTTGTGTCACTAGATGGCCACTGTTGTCATAGCCATCCTGCTAGACAGCTCTGGCCCAGGGAGGGCTGGCTGGGCAGTTTGGGATGATGCCAAGAGGATTGTCCTCTGAAGGCACCACTGTTCCCTACAGAGTGAGGGCAGAGGGGAAAAGAATTAGGAAAGGAAGATCATCCTCTGCAGTTTTTTCAGAGGCGGCAGCCTCTCTCGGTGCACTCAGCAGGGGATGTAGGCAACTGGGACAGGTACCTGTCTGTCCCCAAGACAAGGTAGCTTGAGTTTCAGTGAAGTTGTACCAAAATAAGGCAGTTGGCACAGACAGACTTGACAGCTCCCATTGTTTTCTGTCAAATTGTCTTTCTGAGTAAAAGATCCCATCCAAAGCTCAATTATAAAATACCAGGCCACCTTCAGTTCCCAGCCTTAGAACATCAAGTGTGACAGTCCTGCAGCATTTGGGCTGACTGTTTGCTTTAACCTCTCTCCGGTGGTTAATACTACATAAACGAGGAGTAAAAAGTTTAGAACTGTAAAATGCTCTTTCAATCCTGGTAGTAGTAACCTCTTAGCAATGTTAGTGCTTTGCCAACTCAACGAGAACTAATCCCCTTCTGTCACAGGAAAGAGAAAAATGTAATAGCTGAGAGAACTGTGGAGCTTATTTTCAAATAGATGCCTCAGCATTTTGGTATTTTCTGTGGGATTAACTAGTAACACAGGAAGGCTAATACATATGCAGAGCTTTCATTTGCTTCTGTGACAATTTGCCGGGGGCAAACTGAACTGTGTCATGAGAAATGGTGTCGTTCCCCCCTCCTCCCCTTCCTTGTCAGTTGAAGCAAAAAGACTTGTTAGTAACATAGAAACAATTTGCAATTTATAATCGGTTCAGGAGAAATTTCTCTGCATTTCTGCTTTTCTTATGTTTCTTTTTTTCTTACCAAAACAGAAAGGGCTGCCATTGTATAAGCACAGAAGCCACATAGTGAAAGGTATGAAAGTGTTGCAGTGAAAGCATCTTTGCTAACATAAAATAGATACTGAAGTTCTTTCTGTACTGATTTGTTACACTTTTGCCCCTTTAGCATAGTTGCTTCTAGCTCAAAAAAAGACAGTTTGCTCTGCTGTACGTGTAACCCTAGCTCCTAACGATGGCTTTGTGCTGTGCTTTGGTGGTGTTCTGAGGCTGGCTCTGCGAGCATCCGGTGCTGATGGGCACGGGCAGCGATGGCTGCAGAATACTAATGCTGCAGCTGGCTCCGACAAGGCTCCACTTTCGAAAAATGCTTTAGTCATTCAGTGTCCGTGCACCGTGCTGAGCAACAGGAGGGCAGAAAAGCCATGCTCAGGGATGTTTTTTCAATGCAGAGCAAGAAGCCGACAGGAATGATGGCTCTTTGCTTCACATTGTTGTGCCCAGGCTTCTTTCAGAGCTGCAGTCATTTATATGCATAAATATCAAGACTGTCACTTGTTGCACACTTTGATAACATTTATTTAACAAAGGAAATGGAGGGAGAAAAGAGCTGAACGTCTTCTATTCCAGTCTTACAAAATGAATGACTGAGTAGCTATGGCGATTACTTTCTTCTGGTTTTGTTAGATCACTGTCCTCTGCAATTTGTTTTTCTTCCTGTCCTGCTGTCCCCCGTCAAGGACCATGAGAGGACCTCCCCCCACACCTCCTTTGTCTTTCTCCCACACTGTGACCATCCACAGGAGATACCTCAAAGAATTACCTACCAGTAACAATTGCCACAGCAAAGCCTCTTGCCGTATACTGACACTGATTTTTTTTTTTCTTCAATATTTTTCCCTCATTAACCATCTGACAAAGTCATCCCATTCACCCATTTCATGCGGAGATATGAGGACTCTGCTGTAATTGTATTTTTAATTATTTGCTTGCGTTTTCTATGTCTCCCCTGGGCAAAATACATGCTTGCTATTTGCTCATCATGCCATATCTTTCTGCAGCTTCTAAATTGAGGCTGATGGTAAGTTTACCAGTCATCTCTGGAAAGCTATGCAGTTACATCTAGCTTTTCTCTGGGTCTTGCAGCTATTCTGTATTGAAAGACAACTAAAATATACTACTTGTATAATACTGCTTTTCCATTAAAGCAGTTGCTGAAGTATCACAGGAATGTTTTTCTGATGCCAGGAGGGAGGAGGGAGAGGTTCGTACTGATTGCCAATAAGAGGGGAAACAGCCTGTGAGACAATCCCCCTATTAAATGTGGTCTGCACAGTGAAAAGCTTGGGAAACCTTTCTAAGGCTTCACACATTTAGGCTTTGTGCCCAGGCTCGGGGGCTCAGACGTGGAGGTGGTTTCAGAACATGACACAGGGGGAACTGTTTCAGTAAAAATATCCAGATTAACCGGATAATTTATTAAACTGTCTTGGATGTCCATTCACGTGCATCTTTATTGGCATGCAACTCCAGCAGAACAGAAGTGACAGTTTCTCCCCTGTCCTCGCTTCTGAGCTGTCAAAGAGGTTTCAGGGACAACCGATGGAGCCTGTGTGAACATTCCCAAGGCTAACTAGAGGTTGCTTTTTTCCCCTGAATAAGTGTAATTTTTTGTGCTTCCTCCTTTTACCAGTCTTCCCTAATCTTATAAAAACTTTGAAGCAGTAGTATTATAGTCTTGATGATCTGAAGATATAAACAGTGCAGGATTTGTACGGACAAGTAATATCTTTTCCTGAAGAAGGGCTTGTGTGCCTGAAGACTTGTCTAGTTTTTTTCCCCAACTGTATCAGTTGGTCTAATAAAAGATATTACCTCCCCCTACAAGCTTTGCCTTACTTATTAAAACAGTTGCCTCCAGGACACAGAACACTCTTAACTGGGTGGAAAACTCCAACATCAAGGTGATAGAGTGGAGTTCAGTAGTGTGATTTCCATGCCCCAAGCCAACTGGCACAAAATAAAACAAGTTGGGATGAACACTGTCCACCCTGATCATTCTGCACATCATTAGGTTCCCTTTCACCCCTACTCTACATCAGTATTTTTGTCTTTCCTACCTCTCAGCTGTATGGGGCAGCTCTTTTTTAACACAGAAATACACATGGGGTAACGTCCTTTGGATGCTACCTCGGTAGAAACAGCAAATCTTATGGTTTGCTTGATAAAACTTCTCTGTCTTCTGATTATTTTCTTGGTTGTTGTGTCTCTGTACATTATTTTTAGTTTACTACAGGTGAGCTTGAGAGAGATGAAAAAAATCCCAGTGTGTGTTTCTCATTTAAGGATCACCTAAGTGTTGACAACTTGGTTACAAATCTTAAAGGATATTTTTCTTTTTATACTCTCAGGTGAACTTTCTGTGGAAGGCATACAAGACCCTTTCCTTGTCAGTGTACATATTATCACAGACCCAGGTGAATCCAAGACTCTTCAACAAGCCATTGATAAGCTTCTAGCCTGGATCCATCCAGACCTCCAGCTGTTTCGAGTCTCAGAAAGACGAGTGCCCAAGAAATGCAGGAAGCCAGGTAAGGCTGGTGTTTCTCAGCCAGCCCTTGCTATCACTCTGTTTCTGCAAGAGGAATATGGAGAAGAACCGATCTTGCAGCTCCACGAGACCTTTCAGCGGCCACCTTGGCATTACCACCACACAGAGCGAGTGCATGGGAAGTTCCTCCCTTACATGCCATGCAGCCAGGACTTCTACACTCTGGCTCCAGAGACTCCTCTGTGGGCCATTCGCCCAGTGCACTACGGGAAAGAAATTATCCGCTTCACAATATACTGCAGGAGTGAAAACTTTGTTGACATTTTGAAGTTGTATGAGCTAATACTGAAAAGACCAGTATGTCAGAAAAAAGCGGACTTTTGTGTTTTTCCCATCTATTCTAACATGGAAATAGACATTCAGTTTTCTTTAAAAAAACTGCCAAAGGGCCAGGTGCCAATGCCGACAGAGTCGGCAGTGCTGGAGTTCAGAGTAAAAGATGTGGGGCAGCTTGTGCCTCTCTTGCCCAACCCTTGCAGCCCCATCAGTGAAGACAGGTGGCAGACAGAAGACCATGATGGAAATAGGATCCTTTTGCAGGTAAGTTCAGTACACAGAGAAACAGAAGCACAATTATTGGTTTTGTGCAGGAAAGCTCAACCTGCAATGGCAGCCAGAACAGGAGGCCATTTTTTTTTTTTTTTTTTGGCTCTATCCTATGAGAAATAGCCGGGACAGTACTGCTAAAGAAAGAACTTGAAACTCCTTGCTGTGTGTGTAACTAATCAGGAAAGCAGTGGATGATACTATCCAGATACCAGTCCACCTTGGTTTATGTGAAGAGTGATGTGAGATGAGGTAGCTGTTTAAAAGAATGAGGAGAGAAGGAATTATGAGCCCGAGTGGAGAAATGATGTCTGATGGGTGTAGTTTTGTAAGAAATACGGGCACAGAACTGACAGGGGTTTATAAAATAGCTCTCAGTTATGAGATTTTTATGGGAGATGTGGAATTCCTGATGGTACTCATTGTTTTCTAGCATCACAGAGTGACAAACTGCATCTCTGTTTTGCACAGTGATTGTCAGGATGAGTAGAGAGGTGGTAGAGGAAAAGAAATGCCCCCTGAAGTGCAGCCTAAGAGAGACATTCCCACACTCTTTTTGAACTAAACTGAAGTGCTCGTAACCAAGTCCTGAAAGAGAATTTATTTGTTAAGACATCTGTAGGCACCATATCTGGGCAATGTATCAGCATGCTCTGCTTCGTTACACCGCATCCGAGGGAGATAAAGGGGATAACAAGCAGCAAGCTTTTAATAGCTGCCTGCCCTGCGGAGGGGGTATCTGTGGCAATCCAGAGCCAGGTTAATGTGCAGCAGAGGTATTTACTGCTGCTTAGCATTTGGATCAAGGAGCACAGACCCTCCCTCACCTTTGGAAGACTGTTGTTCAGTTTTTGAAGCAGATTATATTTTCAGAGAGAATTGCATTCACTAAGCTTGTCAAATTGTCTGACCTTGTTTCTGTGGAAGAGGCATCGTGAGTGCCATCCATCCAATGGATGGACCTCCCTCCCAGTGTGCAGAGAGGTGCACACACCCTCTTGCAGCATAGCACCGCTGGGTTTGTGCTCCTGGGACCAAAAATCCAGGTACATGTGGCGTCTGTGCTCTGGTGAGGCACATCCAGGTGGTGGTGAAACCTTTCAATGCCTGCTGGCACATGCTGCCCGCAGAGACACACCATGTCAGAGTTAAAGAGCACACGTGTAGGAGGCAATTTGGCTTCCCTGGCTGTCTGCCAAGACAGTTGCCAATTTGTCAGGGTTACCGCTTGCAGTGTAGGCATACCTGTGTTAGTCTGAGATAACTTGTAAATTAAAGTGTACAAGAGACACCATGAAACTTTTACACAGCAACCATACTCGCCTACATCCCCTTTTCCCTGTTCTTTTTCACGAGGTTTCTGATACATGGTATAACTTTGGTTTATGGAATTTTGCACTGGTTTCAAGTAGACTGAAGGGAAGGGTTAAAAAAAAAAAAAAAAAAAAAAAGCCGAACATCAACAGGGATTCTAAATAAGGCTTTCAATTTCAAAACAGAGGAAATATTTCAGAAATAACAGGCACCAGGCAGTATAGAGGTAAAGTGAGACTTGCTGAACAGCAGGCTGAGGTAAACCCTGCAAAGAAAATTAAACCAAGATTTTAGTCATATGCATCAGAAGAGAAGAGTGAAAGCCTGCTAAGTGTGGCTCCTAAGTGCAATTAATTCTCATTTTGGTTTTCTGGGAGGATGATGATGCTGAACAGGAGGGCAAAATGGCAAATGGGAATGAAGTTATAGACATGGAAATTATCACTCTGGAAGTTGTTGGAGTGGGTCCAGAGGAAGGCCACAAAAATTATCAGAGGGATGGAACACCTTTCCTAGGATGAGTGGTTGAGAGAGTCACGGTTGTTCAGCCTGAAGAAGAGAAGGCTCCGGGGACATCTTGTTGCAGCCTTCCAGTAGCTAAAGGGGGCTTATAAGAAAGATGTGGACAGACTTTTTAGCAGGGCCTGTTGCTATAGGAGAAGGGGTAGTGGCTTTAAACTAAAAGAGGATAGATTTAGACTAGATATAAGGAAGCAGTTTTTTACTGTGAGGGTGGTGAAACACTGGAACAGGTTGCCCAGAGAGGTGGTAGATGCCCCATCCTTGGAAACACTCCAGGTCAGGTTGGATGGGGCTCTGAACAACCTGATCTAGTTGAAGATGTCCTTGCTCATTGCTGAGGGGTTGGACTAGATGACCTTCAGAGGTCCCTTCCAACCCAAACTATTCTATGATTCTATCAAGTGTGGTGAAGCTAAAGAAGTTTAATATATACAAAATGGGGGGAAAACAGAGACTTGGGATCTAACTTAACGCAATTGTAAAGTCATGAAGTCTAGGTCCTGGTGTGTAGGTTGTAAACAATTTTGTATAATCAGAAGCGGAGCTCTATACCTAAACCAAAGGGAAAATATCCTGTTTGTACTCAGATGACTACAAGCCACCAGTGCAATATGGCCATGAAAAGTGCAGTGTCTCGTGTGTGCCAGAGTTAGTATCCCCTAAGAAGTGTGGGAGGTTCTTGTGCCCTTGCACAAGGTCCTGTGGGCCTCACCTGTCTTCAGCTCTGAGCTCCAGAAAGGTGACTTCAGGGAGGTGCAGATACAGGGAAGGGCTCTCACCCCATGCAGAGAAATGGAGAGACAGTCTTACAAGTGAAAACTGGAAGAGTAAGGTCATCTGAGTGAAGCCAAAGTACATCTGAGGGAGCTCTAGCTGTGCTCAGAAAATATACTAGAAGGTGAACAAAAAAAATGTTTTGCTAAGCGATGCTTCTGGCACAGGAACAAAAAAGGAACAAAAAACTGTCAATAAATAGATTTAGGTTGGTAGTTGTTTATATTGATGCCAACTACATAATGTCCACCCAGCAGGTGCAAACAGGTTAAAACCCTAATTCAAGACAGGATGGTCACTTAAGGAAAAGGGATTATATGATGGAGCATGGGTTATAGGAAACACTGGATTTGATGATCCATGGACACCTTATATTCTTTTAACTCATTGTGAGTTCAAAACAATTATGGTATCTACCTTTTAAAGTAACAGGACTATTTTTTGACTCCTCACAGTGTGCTGCTGTACTATCAATGCCACAGAGTTGGTAATAACTTTCACTTCTTCCCAGTTATATTAATACAAGCAATGACATCCTAATATTCTTCAACCTGCACACCAGTTGGTATTTAGTAATCATCAAAATATTTTTACTTGCCTCATATGGATACTGTACCTTTTTACAGACTAAAATTACCCATAATACCCAAAATGGTAGATTAACATCCTTGTTAATAACAGGCACTCTTTAATTTTTGAAGTTTGAATATATACCTCCATGATTAGACTAACAAGATGTGACCTCTGTGTTTTTCTTGGCATGCTTACAGGGACTTGGATATTTGCCAGCCAGATTGATCCATGTTCTTAACCCATTTTGCAGTTACCAAGAGGCTTAGATAAAGTCAGTGCAAGAAAAAATAAAGTTATTCATGGGCAGGATAAGTCTGTTTAATACTGCAGAAACTATTCCTTCATTTGCAAGGAATTCCTTCAAAATGGTTTTGCCACAGTAGCTTTTCCACATTGACAAGTTAGGTCCAAGGGTGCAGCTATATAGCAACAGAGGCAAAGGATAAGCTTGAATTGGCTTTAGCAGAAGCAAGGCTTAAGAGCATGCTTGCATCCTGTGGAAACTCACCCATGCTGCTTCACCAGTGCTAAGCCCAGAAGGAAGAGCAGTGGGAAGAATATATAAATAATGTAGCTAAGAATGTACCATATACTGGTATACTGAATATACTGACAGTTTCATAGGTCTTGTCCAAACTCCTGACTGCCTTTGGGCATAATCCCCACAGAGACAGCTGGAGTGCTGAAGAAGTTGCATGACTGGCAGTCCAACATGGGAAGCAGGAAAGGATAATAAGTGATGGGCTGGCTTGGCCATGCATGTTTGGGAAGCAGGGATAGTGAGCAAAGGGAAGAAAGTGCACAGATGGCTTCTTTAAATTACAAGAATGTCTTTGGATTGGGTGGAAAGGTACATAAAAATAGCATTTTGACAGAATTTTCTAGCTAGTGTGCGTGAAGGGGGACATGCAGACATACTTGGGAGGAAGGTGGGTGATAGCAAATGGACATCTGAGATAGGTGGTGACTCAGCACTTAAGCATAAGATCTACTGCCGTTTTACATGTCAAAAGGTACCTGAGATACCCTGAAGAGGTCTCTAGCAGATTAGACTCAGGACCTACAGGAGGGCTGTACCCTCCCGGAATGCCAGGCAGGCACCCTAGGAGATGCCAAAATGGACCTAACACCTGTGTTCAGGCATCTGATTCACCCTGTAGTAACCAATTTCTTGCTGAAGTCCCTCCCTCTCCACCATCTCCAGCACCAAGAAAGAAGCAGACAACACTGCCAGAAAGCCAAGATAAATAAAAATCCCAAGAAATGTGTGGTTTGTGACCAGTCTTTGCTAATCCTGCCTGAAACAAGGTGGTGAGATCTGGTATTGTAAGGCTCTTACGGCAAGTATTGTGCTAATGACCCAATGACTATACTGTTTATGAGGTGGCTATTTTCTGTGTAGGGTTGTTTTATAGAACATCTCTGAAATAATAGTGCAAATGTTAACTGATCACAGCTTTTAGTTAGAGGGATTTTTTGAGACTATTTGCTGAGGTAATCAGCCAATGTTCTTCTTACCTGTACCAGGCAACCGTAATCTTGAGTTCAGAAGCAGTACAATCCTATTTAGGAAACATAGTTTATTACCTGAAGCTTCAGTTCTGAGAAGAGATTGCCTCTGGATTCAGCCATTAAGTGTCATTAACCTGCTGCTGTGCTACCTCCAAGCTCAGGTTTCTGCTACCTTGGAGATTTCTCCATTGCTTGGTGTACAAAATGAGTACTCTAGATCTGCAGTCAGGCAGTACTCATCCCATAATGGTTTCATGAGGTCAGCTGTAGTCACTTAAGTACAAGATTAGTATGTTACTGTTGAATATGTCCTTGGAGTTGCCAGAAGTCAGTCTGGG